ACATCATGTTTAAAATCTTTTTTAAACATAAATTGAGCAGAGCTACAATCAGTTTTTATTAAAAACTTTTGATTATATAAATCATCTTGAAATTTAAGAACACACTTAACAATAGCAAAGTGTTCTTTAACTACAGCAGAGTAGTTRAGCTGGGCATTTTTCCATTTACCCGAATAAAARCGAATAAGGTATTCTTGTTTTGAAATGGGATCAATCTGTTTAAGAATACCRCCATAGCCTAAATTTGAAGCATCAGTCTCTACAACCTTATTCCAAAGGGGATTAGGAAGCATAAGACAAGGAAGGTTTTTAACCTTTTTCTTAATTTCCTGAACAGCAAGAGTATGACTATCAGTCCAAGAACAAGATTTCTTTTTAAGTCTATCATATAAAAGAGAAGTGTACTGACTTAAATCTTGAATGTAAGCCGAAATATAATTAAGGCTTCCTAAGAATCTTTGTAATTGGGTTTTATCAAGAATCTGGTCAGGAAACTTATCACCAAAAGCAATACTGCGTTGGATAGGAATAATTGTTCCTTTTGCGATATCATGACCAAGAAATCTATATTAATTAATTAAGTATTAAGAATACGTGTTATTCTAATAATTATGTAAATTAATTAATTCTATATTATTAATTAATTAAGTATTAAAAATACATATTTTTAAGTTTTATATTTGTGATTTTTTTTATATACACTTTATACCTTTATAAATACTAGAATAATGTGCACAATACAGCGAGATACATTTTTTTTACTTTTTTTTATTTTTATTTTATTTTATATCCTTGTTATATTTATATTATTATGGTYATATAATTAAATATAAAAAAAATTCAATATTAGACTATTTTGAAGATATTGACGAGACGATTATAATAGAGTAACTTGTAAAAATATAAATATATTTTTTAACGTATTTTAGTTTAATATACGATTATGTATGTTAATGTGATAAAAGATGAAAAATGAAAAAGTAAAGGATGTACTCAAAAATTAAATAAATATAATGGTATAAAGTGTAACTGATAAAAATAATCTTTTGTAATATATATCATATAATAATACAATTTAAATCAAAAAATATTCAATATTAATAAATTTCGAAAGTATTGATGAGTCAATTTATAATGGTATAACTTGTTAAAATAAAAAAATATTTTTAAATTAATATACAATTATGTATTTTAATGTAATAAGTGTATAAAACGAAAAATGAAAAACAAAAGGGACATACCATAAATTACATAATTAACTACAACAATATAGTACAAGTGTTAAAAAATATTTTTTCGTAGTAATATAATTAAATAAATAAATATTCAATACTGGACTTATTTTAAAAGTATTGACAAGACGATTATAATAATGTAACTTGTTAAAATTAGAACGTAATCTTTGGATAACAAGATGAATAAAGGGTATGAGAATGCTTCTTGAGAGGTTAATTTCGTTGTTAGATCTAATTTTAGTTAATATAAAATTATGTTTTTCAATGTAATAATGGTGTAAAACGAAAATTAAAAAAATAAATTATGTACTATAAATTAAATAAATAACTATAAAAGTATAAAGTGTAAATATTAAAAATATTTTTTCATAATATATATAATATATAATAATATAATTAAGTAAAAAACTATTTAATATTGGGCTCATTTCGAAAGTATTAAGGGGCCGATTATAATGGTGTATCTTGTTAAAATAAAAATGTATTTTTTTAAACATGTTTTTTAATATACGATTATGTATGTTAATTTGATAAAAATATAAAATTAAAAATTAAAAAGTAAATGATATAAAATAAATTAATTAACTAATTATAGAGATATAAAATATAAATTTAAAATTAAAATTTAAGAGAGAGAGAGAGAGAGAGAGAGAGAGATAGAAGTTTATCCTACTTTGGCTTCCTCTTAGTCTCCTGCTTCTTCTAAAATAAAACAATCTTCATCGTTAAAATAACTCGTTTTCATGATCAACGGTTGGAAAGGCATCGGGTGACAGCATGTGTCAAATTTGACTGCCTCCGTTGTATCTTCTGAGTTAAGGTTCTCCATCGTATATAACATGCTCCCGCGCTCCACCTTAAACATATCCTCCTCACAAATCACCAACCTTCATTCATTATCGTCTCCTTCCAATTCCATCATTTCTTCCACAAAAATGGTTAGTTATTTGTTACAAATTTTTTATATTTATTTTTCTAAAGTACTAATAGTTGTTATATAAGATTTGTGGGCCCGTGTTAGTCTCAGTCTCTGGTTGAGTCAAAAAAAAAAATACTCATCACATTAATGTCTTTAGAGACAGGTTCCGTATGAGACTGGTTGAAGTTGTCGGTAATCAACTTTTTGCTTAAAAAAATAAGATTTAGGGGTTGTTTACTAAAACGTTTACATGATAACAAGACACCTATCGACTGTTACTGGGTAAGAGACTCTTACCAGATCGGCAATAATGGTCTTTACCATCAATTTTTACAATGTCATTTTGCTTCCCGGTAATCTTACCTGTAAGTGATGGTGGTAACTCTTATCCGGTTAGCACTTATAGAGTAAGAGACACTTATATGATATTGTTTTTTATCACCAATATTATGACTTGTTTGTTTACCTTTTAATAGTTCCATTAAGAGATAACATCTAAATCGTTAAGACGTGAATCTTGTTTGACAAATAAAAAATTTGTCTCTTAATGGTTCTAAAACCTCTATATAACTACTTGCATGTTTTTTCTCGTTTATTATTTGTTATCTTTCTCTCATGAGAATTTTCGGATGCTTTACGTTGTTTGATTTTTGCGTTTATCGGATCGTCTCTAACCAATATGTATTTTGGTTTTTGGTTTTGTTTCGGACGCAATATGCTTATCGGTTCAATAGAGTTCTATGGTTGAGATCAAGGTAACTTACAACATTCTTTACTTTTTCTTGTGAACGGAAATTACCGTAAATCTTGCCTTAGTTAACGTCTTGTTTTGGTTTCAGAAAACATTCGATCGAAGATCCGAGAGAGTTAAATCCGTAGACGTGCATCCTACCGAGCCTTGGTAAGGAATTGTTTTCTCACTAAAAATCCGTTTATGGTGTTAATTAAGTTCAAATGTGTTAAATGTCACTTTATTTTCCTTTTACAGGGTTTTGTTAGGTCTGTATTCGGGAAATGTTTGTATTTGGAATTATCACTCTCAAGTAAGCCATTGTCAATTTATGAATTTTAGTATTTGATACTTCGGTTTATTTAAAGTATATCATTTATACCCCGTTTGTATTAAACGGGGCCCACATAAAATAAAACGTATTAACGATAAAAATTTTGTGGCAGGTGGTGGAAAAGACTTTTGAAATCGTCAAAACGCCCGGTACGTATAACCATTTCTTCCAAATAAGGTGTTAGTATAGTCGGGGGCGGACCCAAGATTTTAGACAAACGAATGCCCCTTTAAGGTGGGTCAAAGACTTGCAGAACCGTTAGATGTTTTTTACCTCAACTCCACTGTTTCGAGGGATTTTTTGAGTTTTTTGGTTGATTATGAGGGATTTTTTCGTGTTCTTTTTGTTGATTTCGAGAGACTTTACGGTTTTTGGTTGATTTCGCGAGACTTTTTCGGTTTTTAGGTTGATGTTCCTTGTATTTTCTAATATCCTTGAAGAACCCTTGAAAGTTTAGCAGATGCACCTTTCATATCCCCCAAAAATCCTACTGACCCCAAGCCTTCATAGATCCGCCTTTGAGTGTAGTTACAGGTTCGCTTACTGTTAAAATTTAGTTATGTTGACTTATATTATATGTATGTTTTATAGTACGAACGTCAAAGTTTATCGCACACAAGGAATGGATTGTTGTTGGAACCGATGATGGGTTCATTCGAGTTTACAACTATAACACTATGGAAAGAGTCGTAGAAATCAAGGCGCACGACGACTTCCTTAGGTCCGTGGTTGTGCATCCATCTCATCCGTACATACTTTCGGCATCTGACGACAAGCTCATAAAATTATGGGATTGGGAGAAAAATTGGGAATGCGTTCAAACGTTTCAAGGGCATGATCATTACGTTATGCAAATAGCGTTTAATCCGAGGGACGCCAATGTCTTCGCAAGTGCGTCACTCGACTGCACCGTCAAGGTACTATTACCGTTTACATTATAACTCAATAATGCAAACACATGATTAACGGGTTTTGGTTCAAGCACAAAAATAAAAACCAAAAGAGTAAAATTACTTTTTGGCAATACCGTTCTCGAGCATAGTTAGAGAACTTAAATTAACATATCGTTCTAAAATTATTGTCAACTTCTCTTAAAAACTTTTAATGTTAATGAGTAGTTGTCACACACATTTTCCTAAAATTTGTTTAGAAGACGAACTTCAAATTTTAGTCTATAACATTCATTTTGAAGATAATATTATCGGCACTGCGCAACGCGCGGTTGCAACACTAGTTAACTTGGAAAGAAAATCTGGGTTGTGGTCGAGAGGACCCACTGTGTTATATAAAACCATACGCTTATATTTTATTTTTATTCTCGCTAATTATTGTTAATACTTATAACTGAACACACCTCCGATATCTGTTATTAACAAAACGATTTATAAATCTCGTAAATGTTTGTCTTTCAAGACGTGGAATCTTGGCCATTTGAATCAGCGTTCGTCAATTGAAGGCCATTTGCAAGGAGTGAACTCTGTGGAATTTTTTAACACCGACGAAAAATTGTACCTGATCACAGGGTCTGACGATAATACCGTTAAGGTATGTCTAAGTTTTGTGGATTCCCTTCTGTTTAATTTTATTAACATTGTCAGACTATATAAGCCCATAAGTAAACTGACCTTTCCTTATCCGAATATTATGAAATCTGATAGGTGTGGGACTACGAAACCGAGACTTGTGTTCAAACTCTTGAAGGCCACAGTCATAACGTTACTTCAACACTATGTGTTAATTCTGACGTTAGTTCTATCATTACGGGATCTGAAGATGGAACTGTACGTGTTTGGGATGCAAAAACGTACAATTTAGACCATGTGTTCACTTCTGAACTTGGTAGGGTTTGGACCATCGGATTTATAAAAGACTCGGCTCAGTAAGTATCTCGAACTCTACATTAAAACATCCCGTCATTCGATAAAATAAACTGAATCGTTTTTTCGTGTTTAAACAGGATCGTATTCGGTTGTGATGAAGGGACGATCATTGGTCAAGTTATCTCTACTCGCGCTTGAGCAAATCATGGATTTGTTTTTACATACCAACATAACGGAATATATACGAATAAAATGTATTTTGTTTGCCATAATAATGTATCTCAGTATTTGTATCTATACGTCGTTTGAAACTATATGTATAATAAAAAATAGTTACTTGTTTCAGTTATTTATTGAGGAAAGTTTTAGCCAAGACCTCAAAACGACCATCGTTAACCACAAGGGTGCTCCTGATTCGGTTATGGATTTGAGGTGTGTTGTGGGACCGAGACCGGTTATAACCCGGCCCGGCCTGACCCCTTTTTAAAAAATGTAGTTGTTTTTTTATTTATAAAATATAGCCGTTATTTTCAAAAAAAAAAAAAAAAACTAGTCGTTTATCACCGTTTTTTGGCACATTTTTTGCCTTCTAAACACTATATATAAGTGTCTTCATTGATGGGTTTACATACCAAGTCTTCTATTTGCAAGAAATGCAAAAAAAACATTCATAATTATCGGCTTCTCGCTATATTTTGTAAGACAATGTAATTTTAATCATAATAAAACGAATTTTTTAAAGTGTATTTGAATGACGTAATTACAAATTTTATAATGTATTAAAAATATATATCATTAAAAAAAATTAAAAAAACATTATCTTTTAATGACCGGAACCGGGACCGGCGGTCCATAACCGGTTACAATAAAGCTAGACCGGACTCACCTTTTTCGACCGGGACCGGTTATGGCCGGATTTGTTGAGTCCGGGACCGGTTTTTGGCCATCACTTGTGTGTAGTGCTAAATTAGGGGTCATTTTTTGAAATATGATTTTTATAGGTTATTTTTATAATTTAAACTTTTTGGGAGGTTAATTTAAACAAGCTCTCATGAATATGTGTTAGTTTTACCATATGTCAAATTTAGTTTATTTTCTATTTATTTCGAATGATCTTTTTAAAAATGTGATTGTATTGGGTTTACATGAAGTTTTAAGAATTACAAGCCACTGGGGAAAAGTTTTTATGTTACCCTTAGTGAAATGCACATTATTATATCATCTTCAACCCAACCATTAAAAATAAAACACTAAAAATACAAAAAATGATGGGTTCATTGAACACTAAAAAAATCAACTCCAACCACACACTAAAAAAACATTAAAAACCTTCTTTAATATAATTATAATTTATGTTCATTGGTCAACTTTATAAGCTAAGGATCTAATAGTCTAAAGTTGCACGGTGACAATTTTGTGATTATTGAGAAGTCTCGTGGCGTTTATGAATGTTCAGATTGTTAGATTGTAGATCTAATCCAAGGGTTGAGAATTGGTCTTACGGGTCTCACGAAAAACCCTTGGTCTCACATGATCTCAAATGTGTATATATGTGTGTGTGTGTATATATATATATATATATATATATATATATATATAGACTTGGAATCATGTGAGACCAAGGGTTTTTCGTGAGACCCATAAGACCAATTCTTAATCCTTAGATTAGATCTACAATCTGAACATTTATAATCACAAAATTGCCACGAGACTTTTCAATAATCACAAAATTGCCACCGTGCAACTTTAGACCGTTAGATCATTAGCTTATAAAGTTGATCAATGAACATAAATTGATCTTACGAGTCTCATGAAAAACCTTTGATCTCACATAAACACAACCATATATATATATATATATAATTATTAAAACTAATATATCAATTATAGGGTTCAATTTTATTAACTTCCAAATATAGAAGTCAACTTTAAAGACCTGTATAATTTTTAATATTGGGTTGGACATGGAGTGAAACACTTCTAATTGTTTTCACCCATCTGGGTATTGACCAGTGAGGCCCAAAAGACACTTCGAATAAAATAAAAGCAAGAAGGTCCTTATTTATTTATCTTTCTATTTAGATCTTTCGAGCATCTAACTGAAATTGTTAATAATATAATAACGATAAAGAATGTCAAATAAATACTTTCTTTAATCTTTACTTGATGTATAATGTAAAATAGTGATCATCTTTTTCAGCTGGGAGAGATGACTAAGTGGATGAAAGCGGCAGATTACTAATCCGTTGTACGAGTTATTCGTACCGAGGGTTTGAATCCCTCTCTTTCCGTTTCCGTTGTTGACTTTCCATTTTTTTTCTTTCAAATTAATGCAACCCATCTTACCCTACTCCAACCCATCACTAACCACCATCCTACCACTATAGTCATTGCAGCTACCACCTTGCCACCCACTACCTTACTCTGGTCGCACCTCCATCATCTCCCCCCACCCTGCCTGCCCCCAACAACTCCACCTATGGAGCATGGGTGGGGCAGGATTGGGGTGGTAGGGCGAGTTTGGGTAGGGTGATAGTTGTGACGACGACAACAATGACATGGTGGTTGGTAGGGTGTGGGCAGGGCGATAAGTTATTCCAAACAAAGACGATTGTTTTAATTATATTGAGAGATTTCATTTTAATTTCTACCAACCAAACGCGTGATCAAATTGCATTCTAATTCTTTCAAAGTCAAATTTCTTTGATGAATTCCAATTTCATCAAATTCCATTTTATGAACCAAATGTCCCTCTTCGTTTAAATTTGTTATAATAAAGTTATTAAAATTAAATAAATATATGATTCTGTTTAGATATAAAAATATTAGTGTAAAATTTGTAAGATCCAATAACCAAATTTGCAATATATAAACCATATAACATTAAAAACCATGAAAAAACATTTTCGTAACATTGAAGCATCGGTCGTTGCATTTCGCAGAGAGACGAGTACTCACACACAATATTTCTTTGCATCTTCAAATTCCACCCTTTTTCTCTCCCACGACGATTCACAGAGGGTGATATCATACGAGCAGAACCTCTCTCTCGATCTAAACCGAAATCATCACTCGATCGCTATCAAATCGATCAATTCGGACGGAGATTCAGTGTAGTTCTCTCTCTGTTCGAGTTGTTTTGCCGGATCTCTCACTCGGATCTTAGGGCTCTGGATTTAGTCACGGATTTCCAATCAAAAGGCTAATCTTTTGATCTTCAACAATGGTGAGCTTACAGTGTTTTTGCTTGATTTGCATTTTTATCAATTATGATTCAGATCCAGTTATACATCTGTTTCCATACGATCATTGATTCAATTACATTGCTGATGTTGAATTGGTGCATTGTCTTGATTTACAATCGGATCTGATTTACTAACCGAAGCTTCAATTTGTTTTGTTTATATTCCGCTTTGGGACAGCCTCTCAGACTCGACATCAAGGTACTGTTTAGACAATTTGGAATGATTTTGATTGTTAAGTGTAGATATTTGCCTAATAATCATATGCTAACAAAGAGCACTTTTCTGCAGAGGAAACTTGCTCAAAGATCAGAAAGAGTAAAATCCGTGGATCTGCATCCGACGGAGCCATGGTAAATATACCTGTTTCTTGTAATTGAGTAAATCGCAATGACTGTGTGTATTTTTTAGGGAAGAGTTCAGCATACCCTGGCATGGATCACAGCTGTGGCGAAGTTCATTACTGAGCAAGTGATTTTTCTTTCATTTATTAATGGATATTGGTATCTGTGTTTTACAGGATCCTCACAAGTTTGTATTCAGGAACAGTCTGCATCTGGGATTATCAGTCTCAGGTATGAAACTAGTTTTACAGTCAAAGGAAGAGCAAGTTCTAGTTAAATTGCAGAATGATCATAATATTGTACTGAATTCAGTTGTCGCTTCTAGATCAAACATATATTCATATTTTACGATATATTTTACCTTGTATAAGATATCAATGCAGTTGGATGCAGCTGACTCACTGAATTTAGGATTAAAAAATTTCCCTTCATAACAATTTCCACCCATCATAAATGGAGTTAATCCTCTGTTTCCACCATCATAAATGGAGTTAGTTTCTTAACCTTTTTGTAGACTATTGAGGCTATATACTTATGGTCAAGCATAGTTGACAATACTTGCTGGAAATGCAACCAAAATTTTTGCTGATAAAAGATAATGCAGCGAACATACAGTTTGAACATTTTCTATGTTTTGTTCTGATGCACCATCAAATGTGTCACAGAAAAGAGTGAGTGTGTTATCTTTATGAACTTAGTTTAATTTTGGTAGCATGGTAGACGAAGTAGCTGGTATCACCAATTATATATTATGTATAAGGTGATATAAGTCTCTTTGGTGAACAAACACAAACATTATATATAGGTAAGCTGTTGGAACATTGAAAACGTTAATGTGAAGTTCAATTATTCAATTTAGTGCTATTAACTTTTAGGTTTTGGCATACACGTTATGACTCCCTGCTGACTTTGTACTGGCTGTAGGAGAGCAATGAGGTGCATTGATGCCAACTGTCTTTTATATGTTTTCATATCCATATTGATGTATGACTTTGTACTTTGTATTGATATGTAGAGGGTAGATAAGGAAAAGTAGCACACATTGACTGTTTGCAGTGTCCCAAAGCAAATTTAACATAAGAAAGGATATGATAAACTGAAACTCTGAAAAGCATCGCTGCATGACGACTTCTTGAACCACCATAGGGACCAACTCGTGCTTCTAGATCTCATGGAATGAGGCAGAATTTAGGCAGTCTTGGTCAACCATCCTGAGTGTGACACTTCATTCACGGCTTTTCTTTAGGTCCAGCTATTTTTCATTCCTCGGGAAAAAAATTCAATCTGATGTTTATGCAGTTAGAGTAATGGAGTACACTTGCTTCTCTATTCTGGTTTTGTTTTCTCCAATTGTATTTGGGTTATCGCAAAAGTAAAACTAAATAGCAGATACTACAACAGGTGTCACAACAATTCTAACAAGCACACGACAACGTATAAGTTGCTAATCTTTTGAGTTGGCCTTTCATAGTAGGGCTCGGCTAGTAGCTAAGTAGAAGAAACATTGGCCATCTGACTATAAACTGGATTGATTACAAATTACTCAGAGAAATATGACTGGTACACAGAAAAAATGCTCAAACATAAAGCTTATAGTAGCTAAGCTAATATTCAACTTAGATAATACAGCATCACAACGGTGATCCAAAAACCATGTCATTTTTTTATCTCCTTGAATTCTAAAGTTGCAATACTATTAGAAATTTTCTACTGGCATGTTCTGATTGAGGATGGGAACCTTTTAATATACTGTGATAGAACACTTCTCTTTATGTCACCATGTGCTGTAAGTATCTGTCCGACCTGATGACAGTTAGTTTGTTAAAATAGTTATTTAGTCTATCAAGTGAGTCTTGTGGTTCCTGATAAGAATTTTTTAATCATAACAATCCAAGTAATTGAAAAAAATAAGTTCTAGATTTTAGCGCTTTCATGATAATTGGTAAATTATTTTTTTGAGGATATTTTCAGCCGTTAAAAGATATGCTGGATAGTATACATTGATCAAACTCTTTCTCATATATATGGAGATTGTTTTACCATTATCTTCTTATAATAGAAATTCCAATACCATCGTCTGATGCAAGCCTCATATCATATGCATTATTGCAGACAATGGCAAAATCCTTTGAGGTTACTGAGTTACCAGGTCAGAGATCATTTTTTTCTGTTGTCCGATACATATTTTCGTACATGGTTTCAGCTTGATCGGGAATTTTGGCATCTGATGCTTACACAATGTATTTGCAGTCAGATCAGCAAAGTTTGTAGCACGCAAGCAGTGGGTTGTTGCCGGTGCGGATGACATGTTTATCCGAGTGTACAATTACAATACAATGGATAAAGTCAAAGTATTCGAGGCACATACAGATTATATTAGGTGCGTGGCTGTCCACCCTACCCTCCCATATATACTGTCTTCTTCTGATGACATGCTTATAAAGCTATGGGACTGGGAGAAGAGTTGGTATTGTCAACAAATCTTTGAGGGACATTCCCATTATGTCATGCAAGTGACAATCAATCCTAAGGACACCAATACTTTTGCAAGTGCATCGCTTGATCGTACCATAAAGGTAATTTGGAATGTTTACTAGTAAATTATACCCATCCATTTGACATACTATAAGGAACATTTATGCACCATCATCTTTCCTATTTCAGATCTGGAATCTTGGCTCACCTGATCCTAACTTCACACTAGATGCCCATCTCAAAGGAGTGAATTGTGTGGATTATTTCACGGGTGGTGATAAACCTTATCTGATTACAGGATCAGATGATCACACTGCTAAGGTTTGTGTCTATGTCTTGTGCTTTTGTCAATTGTTATTTATACAGATTTCTGTAACGTGGACTTATATATGGAACCTGTGAAACAGGTGTGGGATTATCAAACCAAAACCTGTGTCCAGACTTTAGAAGGTCACACACATAACGTTTCTGCTGTGTGCTTTCACCCTGAGTTGCCAATAATAATCACAGGTTCTGAGGATGGTACCGTCCGTATATGGCATTCAACCACTTATAGGTAGGGTCTGGTTGGTGATGGTTGCATTTTTTCTATGCATAATCTTCTCTTAACCTGGATGGGAATTCATCTGAAGTTAGAATTGACTGTGTTGGATAAATATTAAGAAGATATTATTAGTGTTTTTGTTTTTGATTGGTTTACTTCATCATCTTTTTATGAATCTCAATATCAATCAATGTAGTTAATTAGTTATCCCAAAGTATAGCAAGTTGTGCTGCTCAGGAGATGTGCAGCCAAAAACATGAGTTCTGAAGAAATGTTTTATGCATTTGATATTCCTCCTTCCATCCCAACATGTTATCTGTCGTGCCTGCTGTGCGCGTTTGTGGTTTTTTTTTTAATCCTTTCTCCAATTCCAAGGTTCTTTTTTAGACTTGCTACCTGTAGTTCTAGGCATCCATTTCCTTCATCCCATACACTGACAACTTCTGACTGAAGAAAACTCATGTCGTAGTATATGCAGCAATAGAAGGAATCTCAGGTTTTTACGATGACATTGAATTTTTTTCTCTTTTGATTATTTGCTCTATTTGCTAATGAAGCTTTATTTCTGGTTGTATAACATCAACCTATGAACCTATAAACACACACTACTAAATGTACAAGCTGCAATTGCTGGTAAACTCTGCCATATTCTATCCTAAGTATTGTAATTGCAAAATAAAGTATTCATCATGTTTGGTTTATTTCGAGCTAGATTTTTCCAAGTTCCTAAGGTTTTCCAAATTTGTGCAGACTTGAGAACACTTTGAATTATGGACTCGAAAGGGTTTGGGCTATTGGATACATGAAAGGTTCACGACGGTAAGTTTGTATTGTGACCATCTTCCATATATTAGCTATAGTTTTATTGCTGTTCAACACAGTTAGTTTTCTTGGGTAATTATATGTTCAAGGCTCTTCCTTATTCTTTAATTATTCATTTGATAATATTAAGTTCTTGGTCAGCAAGTCTTATTTTGATTGCCTTGAGTGGAGTTAAGATCCGTCATAAAATTTCTGGTGCTGCTTTAGCTCTTTTAAGAATCCACCTGTCACTTCTTTCATTCATCAGAAAACAATTTATTTTTTTTATGCATTTTCCTTGCAGGATTGCCATTGGCTATGATGAAGGGACTATAATGGTGAAAGTTGGTAGGGAAGAGCCTGTAGCTAGCATGGACAACAGTGGAAAAATTATATGGGCTAAGCATAATGAAATTCAGACCGTTAACATCAAGAGTGTGGGAGCTGATTATGAGGTTTTGGTCCATATGCTTTCTTGTTTGTCAAAATTAAAACAGAGAATGGTTCTTTCTTGTGTTCTATTTTTATTGTCAAGGTGACTGTACTGTTTCCTCCTTTGCTTCTCAGGTCTCTGATGGGGAGAGGTTGCCTTTAGCAGTTAAAGAGTTGGGAACATGCGATCTCTACCCACAAGTAAGTTGTGCCTATTTTTATTGTGTATCTTCCTACAAACTGAAAAAGAGATACATCTCTTTATGACACAAGTTCTAAGTACAACAAATTACTTAATCATAATGATATTTGCATCACATTAAAGGACCACTTTTTGTGATTGTAAAGAACCAGGGTAAGTTGGTCTCTTGATGTACCTGCCAAATAAAAAGAAAATTGGCTTAAATACTGGACATGGTTTGATTTATTACTTTTTTGACTTGTTGATTCTACTTTTCATATGTCTTTGTTGTTGATTCTTTCAGAGTTTGAAACACAATCCAAATGGGAGGTTTGTAGTTGTATGTGGTGATGGTGAATACATCATATACACAGCTTTGGCCTGGAGAAATAGATCCTTTGGCTCTGCATTGGAGATTGTTTGGTCATCTGATGGTGAATATGCTGTCAGGGAGAGCACTACTAAGATTAAGATTTTTAACAAATCTTTTCAGGTTGGTGACTTTCTTTTACCTCATAGTTAGATAAAAAAGCAACGTGTTTGTTACTACTGTACATATTATTCTCAAGAAGATGCTAATTGTGTAGTGCCATCTGCTTTCTGCTTCAGTTGTTCTGGTCTATCTCTTTTCTATCTATTCTGCATTTCCAAATTTGTTCTGTATTTGTTGAAGCAGATATACCTTTTCAGAATTAGGGACCTTTATCATCGTCTGGGATTCTGTTTTGTATTTTCCTGCAGAAAGTAGCTGCTATTAGCTAATCTGAATCCTTGTTTGTTTATTTGGATTCTTGTTGATCAGGAAAAGAAGAGCATTCGCCCGACATTTTCTGCCGAGCGAATATATGGAGGATCTTTGCTAGCAATGTGCTCAAATGATTTTATATGTTTCTATGATTGGGCTGAGTGCAGATTGATTCAACGGATTGATGTTAATGTCAAGGTAAGCTACTCTAACATCTTCAATTAGATGTCATGTTTCACCTTATCTTTTACATATTCATCATGCTTGTACGAGTCTAATATTTTTCGTCTATTTCTTTCTCTCCTTTGTTTCCAGAATCTTTACTGGGCCGACAGTGGTGATATGGTGGTAATTGCCAGTGATTCATCATTCTACATACTGAAGTACAACGTATGAACCTTACATATGCATTTTTACCTTCTTGCAATTTCAACAATTTATTATCCCTTCTCTAGTTATGGTTTAACCAAGTTTGATTAATATTGTAAATTTGGTTATGTTGCAGCGTGATGTAGTGTCAGCACATCTAGATAGTGGAAGATCTGTAGACGAGCAAGGTATCGACCAGTCCTTTGAACCTCTCTATGAAGTCGATGAAAGAGTTAGAACTGGATTGTGGGTTGGGGACTGTTTTATTTACAATAATTCTTCCTGGAGACTCAACTACTGTGTTGGTGGCGAGGTAGAACCTGTCATCAATACTTTTCATAATACCCTAGACATTCAAATTTTGTCTGACGTCATATGTCAGTAATTGATCTGATATCTTTTTCAGGTGACCACAATGTTTCATCTGGATAGGCCAATGTATCTTCTAGGATACCTAGCTAATCAAAGCAGGGTTTATCTCATTGATAAGGAGTTTAAGTGAGTAGGCTTCGGTGTTCATATTTTTGGATGAATTTTTTTATATAAACTTGAGTTCTAACATTCTTTTTTCTTTCCAAAAAAGAAACCTCTTAACATTCTTTTGGTTCTCTATATTTTAGTGTCATCGGATACACATTGTTGCTCACCTTGATCGAGTATAAGACACTTGTGATGCGTGGAGACCTAGAACAAGCTAGTGCTGTATTGCCTTTAATTCCAAAGGATCATCATAATAGGTATAGTTAATATATCTTCCCTATGTAAGAGGTTGGCATTATTTGAATATCTCATGTATTTGGTGGAATGGTTTGTTAATTTAAGCCTTTTCCTGTACATCATATGTCAATAGTGTACAGCTTAGACAATTATATTCCAGCATCTGCGTGTCTTTCATCTTCATTTTCATTTGCATGTAGTTTTCTAATTAAAATGCAAAATTTGGGAAATGAATTCATCATGGATCTTGTATTGAAGATACTTGGATCTCAATCTGATTATGGTTTCTTTGGTAGTGTTGCTCACTTTTTGGAATCACGAGGAATGATTGAGGAGGCTTTGGAAGTTGCTACAGATCCCGACTATAGATTTGAGCTAGCCATTCAGCTTGGTAAACTAGAGATTGCAAAGGTAATTGCACACACCTTGCACAAGCAAGCCATATGCCAATATTTAACTGCTTAAAGAGAGAATCTAGGTACCCTTTCCCTAGGAATTGTGTCTCATTAGTTGTATACATGCATGATGCTATTTCTTTTGTTCTATACAGGATATTGCTCTAGTAGCACAGAGCGAGACAAAATGGAAGCAGTTGGGTGAATTAGCCATGTCTACTGGACTGGTATGTTTTGATTTGAATATTTTATTCTTCCCCCATCACAGAAAGGCACACGCTTCTGGTTTTTCGCTTTTAGATATATAAATTTAAATCAACTTACAATATTTTGTTCAAGAATGAAATATCTTTCTTGATTCAGTTCCCCCTATTAGATATAGATCAAAATAATCTAAAAGACAACAATATGTGGACACACTCATGCCACCAATGATGGTTCTCACAGACTCACAGCCGCCTTCTTGCAACTCCTTATATGTAATCATTGATAACAATATTTGACACATTGCAGTTGGGAATGGCTGAAGATTGTTTGAAGCATGCAAACGATTTGAGTGGTCTGCTGCTGCTGTATTCTTCTTTGGGAGATGCTGAAGAGATAGCAAAACTTGCATCTCTTGCAAAAGAGAGTGGAAAAAACAATGTCGCTTTTGTTTGTCTATTTATGCTGGGTAAATTGGAAGACTGTCTACAGTTGTTGGTCGACAGGTTAGTTATTACATATCATACATTAATCCAACATGATATGATTTTTAGACATGATATAGAATTTCAAAAATGCACTTCTCTCTTGCAGCAATCGGATACCTGAGGCTGCTCTGATGGCACGGTCTTATCTTCCAAGCAAGGTTTCAGAAATAGTTGCTCTTTGGAGAAAAGACCTTAACAAGGTTAATTCTGAATTTCCTATTCTTTCCAGTGCCCCCCCTTTCAGTTTACCTCTCTTTTGCTGCTCAGTTGCTTTAGGTTTAGACCGAAAAGTACCTCAAGTTGGATAGTACACACGTCTCTCACATCCTTCTTTGTTATGCCAAGTAACTATAATTCTTTGAGGTGGTACGGTTTTGGAGTTTACTTGCTATGTACTTGTGCAATGCAGCCGGAGTAAAGTATCACTGTAAACTGATAATGGAATACTAATATAATTCATTGGTAAATTTGAAGACCCGGTAAAAAATCCAAAAAGAGTATCAACATTGGTGTCAAATTGAAGATTATAAAATTCTTGTTTTTTTTTTATATAATTTTTTTAATTCAAAATTTAATTATAAATTTAAATATATTAGATTTGAAAATGAAGATGTTACTTATTTTAGTTTTAGTAATGGAGTATTTTTTTGTGGATAAAGATAATGGTGGAGTTAGGATTCAATGATTATCCTGTATTTGAATGTGTTTATCAGTTAGTTATTAATTAGCTTTATGGAGTTTAAACGGCGTTAAAAGATGTCTGTATGCAGTGATTACTTGTAAACTTGAAATTTAAGGATTATGTATTACTGAGCAATATCTAATGCTTAAGAAGTTGTCTTTCAGACTTTTACCTAAATGCTTTATAATATAGTATAGATTAACGTTCCTAAAAGGAGGAGACTGAAGTTCTTCTGTGACTCATCTTTTTTATAGTTTAGGTGGAATTTATTTAAATTTTGAAGGATTTCATACATAAAATTTCAAGCGTGCTTTTCAGCATGTTCATCAATATTCTATTCTATAGTTAGCTAAGGTATCCAAAGCCTAAAAGGTTCCATCTGCCTCTCAAATTTTTGCTAGATCGACTAGAATATGAGAATTCTGGCAAGCGGGTTGACATGACTGAAATGCAGGTTAACCAGAAAGCAGCAGAATCTTTAGCAGATCCTGAAGAGTATCCAAATATGTTTGAGGACTGGCAAGTTGCACTTGAAGTTGAAGCAAGAGCTGCAGAGACAAGGTTCTGTTGCTTATCAATGTCTCGAAACTCTTTCCTTTTTCTTATTCACGTTGCGGCTTTTGAACTTGAGCTTAACTTTAATATACCTAAGGTTCTCATGTTATTATTAAAGAACGAGCGTAGGCTTAGAAGCATGGTTTTAAAAATCGTTTGAGGTGTATGCCCCTCAAGGCAAGGCAGCCCAAGACCGCACCTTAGGCGGCGCCTCTTGGACCCTGGATGAGGCTTACACCTTGGTTCAGTCAGGCAGTGTCGAGGTATACGCCTCAGATGATCTGCTTTAATAATAGTTTTTTGGCTTTCTTTTATAAGCTTTATGGCAGTAGTAGTACTTCTCTTTATAGTAAATGTGTTTTTTTTATTATAAAAACTAAAAGTCAAAGCCCAATGGCCCCAATGTGTACTTTTAATATTTTAAAACCCAAAGAGCTAGTACTTTCTCCTCTCAATCAAAAAGTGTGGTTTGATCCTTCCTCTTCCTCCAAGCAACCAATTTTTCCACACCCTCTCTGCGTATATATTTGTGTAGTATACGTACGTATTTTGGTGTATATATATTTCCGCCTTGAGGCTTATGCCTCGCCTCGTCGAGGGAAAACGCCTCGAGGCCCGATTACGCCTTTTAGAACTTTGCTTATAAGAACGTCTGAATTGTATGCTGACAATTGTAAAGGACTTCCATGTCAAGCAAGTGAACTATTTAAATAGACTAAATATTGAAGATCCATGGCTTTAGTGTTAAATTGGATATAATATTAACGAGTCCATCCACCAAATATAATGTAGGGATAGTTATCCTCCGGCAGCAGAGTATGTAAATTATGTTGATAGATCCCACGTCAACCTAGTGGAGGTCTTCAAAAACATGCAGTTGGACGTTGAGGAACCACATGAAAATGGAGGGTTGGATCATGAGGTAAGTTTCTGCACTTACTTTTTTATGTTTCTTCTTGACGATGGGATGTATGCTCAAGTTCATTCCCTTGATTTATCTTTTATTATATATAGTCTTTTTTTGTGAAAAGAAAACGTATTTCTGTGTTTATTAAGAAACTGGAACATAATAATGATGATTATAAAATGCTCGTATTATTCTTTCATGCTCCTTTTGGTGGGTGTTGGAGAGTTAACATCCTGGTCATATATTTCATGAGTGAAGTTGTGGTCCCCTGCTATTTGGCTTAGCTTCTATAAGATTTAAAGAATTTCATTATGCTTTTCTGTCAAATAGAAAGAGGGATGTGTGCTTTTCGAAGTTTTCGTTACCTTTTTCTATGTTTCAAAGTACCTACTTCTCTATCTTTCATATTAACTGCCAACCATTTCTCTGTTAAGTCACATGGCAAAATGAACATAAATTTAAGAGTAAAATACAAATTTAGTTCCCGTGGTTTGTCAAAAATAATACTTTTTTGTTCCTGCACTTTCAAAATTACAAGATCGCCATCGTGGTTTGTAAAAACATCCGGATTTGATTACTTTCTGACGACCATGTAAAAAATTTTGTTTCTTGATTGGGTCAAAGACAAAAAACAAAAAAAATAAAATAATGGTTATTAAAGAATTCAGTTTGACTGAGAGTGATAATTGAAACTGTGATTAGGAAATTTAGCTCTCTCTCAAATAAAAATGCCTTCCATTTCTCTTCTAAGACCTTTGTCCTAATAGTCTCATTCCTCCAGCCTATCGAAAGTCATCTTTTTATTAACATTAACCAACAACACATGCACTTTGTTGGCACTAAAAAAAAGGTTATTCAATCCACTAGTGCAACTGAAGGAATTACCTCTTCTGAACCGGAATAAGAAAGAGCTCATAACCACTACTTGTGAACAGCTCTCCTCAACTGAAGGCGCACCTACTGTTACTAGAAGTCTAGCCTCTGTTCTGTTGCTTACTATTTACTAGTCTTTATTCTTTTTACCTTTCCTTTCAATTAAGCCGGTGGTCTTCATGGAAACAACCACTCAACCCGTCGGGGTGGAGGATAGGTTTTGCATCTGTGTACATCCCAACCCCCTAAACCCTACTTTCAAGTGGGATATACTGGTTCGTTTGGTTCATTTAGACACGTTTTATCAGATGTTATATATTTTGCCAATTAAAGAAGGGACAGAGTTTTCAGTAGTTGACAAGCCGTCTGTCCTAAGTTCTACTTATTCCCATCGCTTCTGTCCTTTAATGTTCTTCTCATTGCCTTTTTGTTATACAGGGTCTTGAACAAACCGATAAGGAAGAGGAATTTGTTGATGGTCAAGAAGTGAGTCAAGAAGAGAGCCAAGAAGAAGACACTGCTGCAATGGATAATGATTCTTCAGACGGTGCTGTACTCGTTAACGGTAACGAGGCTGAAGAAGAGTGGGGTACGAATAATGCAGGAAATCCGTCAGCCTAAAAGCAATTGGTTGGGGCAGTGTGAAAATCCTAATTTTATTGCTGGTGATTAATTGAATTTCTCTTAAATGCCATCTTTGACTCCCATTTCAGCAAATCCAACTTAGGTCCCGTATATTAAATAACTTATATTTTTGCATATCGCTATTGTTCACATGTTTGGGGTTTGCTTCAACTTTCCATATGAGCAAACAATACAAGTCTAGATTTTGGTGGTACCGACTAAGGACACTAGTCAGAAGAACATTCAATTCCACAGTCTTCTTGTAGTCCGTATTTTTAGTTAAAACTATGCATGACAAAGCATTTTGTTAGGAAACAATCATAATCAGTTTACAATTAGGTGTACACACACACTATGTATATATAGAGATAAAGGGAGGTCCAGGGGAAAACCCCAAAAAATAAAAAAACTGAGGAACACCCTGGTAAATCTGGACAGTATGCACATGTGCATACAAGTAATTGAAGTTGTTTCTTGGTTTTTATGCATGTGTGCATATTATGCACATGTGGATACGGACATATTGCTTACAAATTACTTGTATGCACATGTGCATACCGTCCAGGTGAACGGTTACCAGGGTGTTCCTTGCCTTTTCATTTTTTTGGGGATTTTCCCTGAACCGGACCCTAAATATATATATGTTTGTATGTGTGTTAGAGTCCCACGTTGACTACACATGGTCCTAATATGTATATATCTTGGGATCTCCCCCTCTCAATGAGGGCTCTTTTGGAGGGAGAATCCAGGGTTATACATATTCTAACATGCTATCACAGCCGGCATCTAGCACCCCCAGGGTCTAGACACTCTTTCACATCCATTCTTCGGGGCACCGTCTAGCCTCCACTCGAGGGGTTCTACATATTCTAATAAGGGCTTTTTTGAGGGAGAATAAAGGGTTCAACTCATTCTAACATGGTATTAGAGTTGGCGTCTAAAACCCCTCTAGTCACTTGACCCACTCTTTTGCATGTTGGTGTCCAAGCCAGCTAGTCCATCTAACCTGTATATATGTTGAAACTGCCCTCTCTCTCTATAAGGGCTAACATTTAGCGAGAAGGCGAGAAGTTTCCATATCATATACGATTACACTCTTTTGGGTGTGTTTAATCCTATATGATTAAGCGTCTATGTGTTGTCAATGCAACATGTATTTAATTATATATGATTAAGCTTGTGTATCATGCGTGTAATCATATATGCTATTGAAATTACTTGTCTTCTCGCAAAATGTTTAGCTTCTCGTTTGAACCTGCCTGTATATATATACATATACATGACATAAGTGCACACGTGGAGAGGGCTATCTTTATGTACTATACTCATGGTTTCCCCTAGCAACAGAAGCAACATTTTTTGAGGCTTGAGCCCTGAAAATGTACTCATTTTAGTCAGCCATGTGAAGTTAAAAGCATGGTTCCCTTATCCAGTAGCCTTCTTATCGGAACTTGATCTTTTCTATTTAGGGTTCCTTTTTTTTGGGAAGGGGGGGGGGTTGAGATAGAGCATTTGGGGGATGATTTCATGGAAACTGTAGGATATCCATTATAGATTGCTTAATTGAGATGCAGTTCTTTCACTTGAATGCACATAGGAAGAAGGGGGAGAGTTGGAATTCCCTCTTTGGACACAATTTTTGAGGTGTATCATCGTCAATTTATTATATTTCCTCTTTTTATTTACACAGGACTTCATTTTGAGCTTCTACTGGTTTTTCTTATTTTCCTTTATGTTTTAGTTAACTGGGGTTTGTCTAATCTCCCCTCACAATCTTCTTTTTGATTGGCAGTGCTTACACCACGTCATCAAGTCAACTGACTCAAGACGTTTCCTGCTTCACGCAACTCCTTCAGGTGGGAATTACTGTTTTATATATATATATATATATAGAGAGAGAGAGAGAGAGAGAGAGAGAGAGGAAGGATCATGCGAGAAGTAAACATTTTTCAAGAAGGCGGGAAGTTTCAATATCATATATGATTACACTTCTTTGGGTGTGTTTAATCATAGATGATTAAGCTTGTGTAACATGCGTGTAATCATATATGATATTGAAACCTTTTGTCTTCTCCCAAAATGTTTAGCTTCTTGCTGAACCTGTCCCTATGTATACACACACATATAGAGGGAGATTCAAAAGAGAACAATAACCAAATAAGAGAAGATGAAAACGGCCAAATCACATTCGATTTTACACTAACGCCAAACTCAAGGGTGTGCGGGCGACTTGGCGCAGGTCGCGGGCAAAGTACATGATCTTAGTGTTAAAGTACATGTGATTCGACCTTTTTCTTATTATCTTATTTGGTTATTATTCTCGTATGAACCGGACTCTCTCTCTCTACACACGCACACACACACGGGTTGGGTTCCAGTGAGAAGGGAAGTTATAGTGAGAAGTATAAGAAGAGATTTTCACCCTTTGATCAATCCTAATTGAATGTCAACACTAATGATGTGCACCGAGATGCACTGGATCAATTCCCTTCTAAAGCACAATTCATGGGTGGATTTGAAATTAAAAGTAATCAAGGGTTCAAATCTCTTCATATGCTTCTCATTATAACTTCCCTTCTCACACGATCCTTCGCCCACACACACATACAACACTCTTGGGTCCCTCAAATCCACAAGGATCATGAAAGAGTCCTCTCCACATGTTCTGGACAAATTTTGTCCCTTCCGGAAGGTGGACGTGACCCAACACAAAGAGGAACTATGCCTTTTTTCAATTTGAACCTGGGTCTCCCTAGAAATGATGTTAGACACCATGCCAAAGGCTGATTCGGCTCCCCCTTGGGGGTTGGCTCTACTGATTTGTACTTGCTGAGTTATTGGTTTTTTTTATGTGTACATTATGTGCAAAAAGTATTGTCCTTTTGGGTGCGTTTGATATGCGGGATAGAATAGAACAAAAACTTGTCCCATATTTGGTGCAACTTTAGACTGGACACGACGGGAATGATTGGGACAAAAATGCAGTTTTTTTGTCCCACCAAAATAAGGGAACAAAAATAAGGGAGATGGGACAATATTGGTAAATTACTAAACTATTCATATTAGATTAAAAACCTAAGACATTTTGCGGTTCTTTCACCCACCAATCCCGCTCTTGCCCGTCCAGTTCTATCCCGTCTTCAAACCAAATGCATTAGCTGGATTTTGCTTGGATTTTCGAGTTGGACAGTCGTTTTGTCGTCCAACTCAACCCAAAACTACATGGTTCTGTTGCATCCTTTTCATTTCCCTTCCGATTATGAAGTATACTCATATACTACCTCCGTCCTAAAATAAGTGTCCGCATTTTATTTCTGTTTGTGCCAAAATAAGAGTCCACACTTATATTTCAGTTTGTTCCATAATGCTCCCCATGTCCCAAATCAAGTGTCCACATTTCTATGTTAGTTTATCCCAAAGTAAGTGTCCACTATCAAAAGCAAGTTTATACTTTCCCATTCTATCCTTAATTATTGATATAGAAAAACTCTCTTTCTAGTATCAAGGATAAAAGTGTCATTTGGTTATTTAAAAGTATAATAATTACGTATTCCTAAAACTGTGTCAATTTTATTGTGGACATTTATTTTGGAATGGAGGGTGTAATTGTCTACTTTCCCATTATCATAAAATGAGGTAATTTAATTCTCTGTCTATTATTAAGAGCCAAATTGTTATTTAGTTAAGGGTAAATTGCATAAAAAAGTAACGTACTTTAACTTGATTTCTATTTTTGGTAACATACTTTCAAAACTCCATTTTGGTACCTAAGATGTAAAGTCTTAAACGTTTAAGTACCCGGGTAACCGGCTAACGCATTAACCGGTTACTGTGCTGACGTGTCGAGTGATATGGTATCCAACTTAGTATTATTTGCTGAAGCATTAATCCAATACCACATCACTCGCCATATCAGCACGATAACCGGTTAATGTTTCAACCAGTTACCCGGGTACTTAAATGTTTAAAACTTTACATCTTAGGTACCAAAATGGAAGTTTTGAAAGTACGTTACCCAAAATAGAAATCAGGTTAAAGTACGTTACTTTTTCATGCAATTTGCCCTTATAATTACACATTTTTAAAACAATGTCTTTTTCATCCCCGGACGTTTATTTTAAGACAGAGGGAGTATATGTTTAATTACCAACAATATCTCAAGACCTGCTGCAGATTGAAACTCTCGTTTCTTTTATTACGGTTTCTATATTAATTTACCCTTCTTTGTCCAGGTACGTGTTCGTGGTGTAATTTTGTAAGCGCGTCGATTTTGTATTTTGGGACATATATGATATAGACTTCAACTTCAGCTTAGTACTTTGAGTTTAGTTACTCTTTAGGTACTTCCATCGATATTCTTTTTGAGGCGATAATTTTTCATCCTTCAGATCATCTTTATACTTTGTTATTGTGAATGTAAAAAACATTTTATAGCCTGTAGTAGGGGTGCGAGAGGTGACAACGGTCCTATAATTGTTTTCGTTTTGATTGTAACGTTTATTTGCACTCCGTTAGGATTCTTGTGGTCGTGAATCCTCTATATATTTTCTTCGGTTAATTGGAGTTTGCTTTGATGCTAAACCCGACTTTAGACCTATACCTTATGTGTTCTTTTTTTGGGTAACTGTGGGTTTCAGCTTCAGTTTCAGCTAATGCATACTGGCTAACCCCTAGACAACCACGCCTTACCTGGAGTTTCAGCAGGTGAACCTTCATGGTCATAAGGGCTTTCGCAGTTTCCGGATTCGAACCTGGAAGGACGGGATTTGTCCCATACCTTTTGTATTCTTTTTGATAAACCTAGATATCCAATTTGCTATGCGAGTTGACTAATCCCAGGACAACCACCTGCAAAAGTCACTCGCATTTGAACCTCCGTAGTCATAAAAAGGGTTTTTTATTCCTCATTTGAACCTGAGACCTTCAGACACTTTTGATATGGTCTTGGTTTAGTTGTGAATTGCTAGCCCTCACATTGTTGCAATGTTAAAACTATGTGATTTATTGTTGGGTCTTAGATTTCTCAATTGATTTATTTATATATGATTTGAATAACGGAATCAATTGAAATCATATATAGATCAATCACTTGAGAAACATGGGATCCACCAATTTGCTACATTCCTTCTTTTAGGTAGATGAAACTTCTGTATATATTTCATATTTCTAAAATACTTTATTTTGAATAGGGGTTGTTTGTTTACGTCTTAATAGTCCTATTAAGAGATATCTTCTGAATCACTAAAAGGTGAATATTGTTTAGCAAAAAAATCTGTCCCTTAATGGTTCTAAAACCTTCTGAATGACTTTGTATCATTGGTCTTCCTTAACAATTCAACACCTTAATTCCATTGTAAACAATTATATTTCATTTTGTACTGTATCATGAGTGTCTTTTAATCATTCTGACTATTTAATCATTTTGCACCAAACTATTCAACAACTGACAAACAACTATATTAAGTTCATTTGGTTTTGTTAGGACCAATGCTCAAAACAGATGAGAGTGAAGTAAAAGGTTAAAGAAACTGCGAAATGTTTTAAAGTTTTTATTTGACATGGGTAGTTTAATATTTATGTATCCTTCTCATCTTTTTTTTTTTGTTCCACCTATCTTGATGAGACAAAAAAATGTAATTTTCTCTTACCCAGTACTTGTCTCGTGCCAGTTTAATGTCGTGTCAAACATAAGAAAACAAATTTTTGTTCTCTTTTCTTTTAAGGTGCCGTATAGTGAATATGTACAGTAAATGAGGGAAAAACAAGTTAAATGTGTGATTTAACTTGACTTCCCCGATTGTCGGATCGAAAAGTACATTTTGTTGTAACAATAAAGGACAACAAGATGCGTGTAATTTACAAGATTGAATTTTATCTGTTTCAAATAGATATAGTCATGATTAGAGGTAAATAAAAGCGGGTCTCATCCAGTTTCTAACTGGTCCTAATCCTTACCCACAACTTATCTTAATGGTAACTTGTCCCAAAAGATCCTGTCTTTTTAACCGAATTAAGCTTTTTTTTTATTAACCTGTATATCCAACCCGCTATGCGAGCCGACTAATCTCAAAACTATCATCCGCTTCGCGGGTAGCCCGGAGTCACTGCTTTTAAACCTTCGTGACCACAAGATGATTTTTATTCATACTTGGATTCAATCCTGGGACCTCAAGATAGTTTTGACCTTTGAAGTCCAAGCTCAAACCAATTAGACATCATCTTTATAGTTATTCATTTTAAGCTTTGAGTTAAAAAGTGTTTTAACTTATTTGAATAAACCACCAACTCCAACTCCAACACCAATTTTACATCCAAACAAAATGACACATTGGTTGTCCAATACTTGGGCCATGCCTTGTTTAGTAACCGGTTTTTTAACCAGTTTAACTTCAAAAAGTCATAAGTGACAGTAACTGATCAAACTTTTAGTATTTAGAACCGGGCCTTTAGTGAATCATATACTGTTTAACATGATTATTTTTCATCTACGAATTGGATTTACTGTATTGATTAACATATATTTGTTCCACGATGTGAAAATTTTTATGTGTTAGTGAAACAAAAAATACAACTAAAAAGTTTCACACTATGAACCAAATGCATATGAAAGAAAAGATGTTGTAAAACAAATATATGTTAATCAATATATTGACTTATAGTCTTAGATGAAAAAAAATCATGTAAAACAATATCTTATGATAGTATTTTTCACAGTTATTACAATATATGAGGTTTTTCAGTTTGTTAAGCCCATACGTATATATAATTATATACATTGGGGAAAGTTCAAATGAGAACACTAACTATTTAAAAAAAAAGAAAAAAGATTGTAAATGTACAAAATCATACATGATTCACACACACATATAATATAATATAAAATAATACATGATTCACATACACACACATACACACACACACACACACACACATATATATATATATATATATATATATATTCACGTACAAGATCGTACAGGTTCAAAAGTCGTTCGATTCCATTTTTTGACGTTAATGTAAAATCACATGCGATTTTATACGTTGACGACTTTTTTCTTGTTTTCTTAACTAGTTAACGTTCTCGTTTGAACATTTCTCTATATACATAACATACAATTTAGCGCATTATATCATGCATTAAAAAACGTCACATCCTCACACTCACGTCATTTATAACCTTCGAATTTAACCATCATATTCAACGTTTCATTACAAAATAACCACTAAAAGTTCACCAAAACCACTCATTCCGACTTTTCATTTTTGTATTTTATCAAAAACCACAATTTTTACTAAGTTATGGGGTGAAAATGCAACTTTTTCTAAATTATGGGACGAATATACAATTTATACTAAATTATGTACTTAGTTTGCAATATCTCCAAACTTTAGAGGCGTTAAAGCAATTTTCCACATCACCTCCTGTCCTTTAATTCAAATATATATAAATAGTAAAAGGAAGAAAGGAAAAGGCTACGATGATTGATCACCGTCACTGAACATTTTACTCGAACTCTAGGGTTCATATTCAGCCTCTAACGCACCGACCTAAAGCAACGGTGAGGCAACCATAAACGCTACCTTACAATACTATTCCGATTTGTCTTCTTGTTGTTGCTTACTGTTCGTTTTCTATTGTTCGTTTGTTTGATGTTTGTTTTTTTTGTCATTTTCATCGATAGATTTGTTAAATCGTTGTGAATGGATGTCTTTCTGATGGATTAATTTGGTTTTTTGTGTTAGATTTGTTATAATATGTGTTATTATGCTGTTAATCGTGTCAATGTTCGTCATCTTGTTGATTTTGTTATTTGCGTCGTTCATTGTTCAAGTATTTGATGTTATGTGACGTGGTGCAGGAATTTGGTGTTTATTTTGTTATTTTGTGCTCTTTTTAGCTATTGATTGTGTGTCGCGATGATTTATTTAAGACGGATTCTGTAAAATTAGGTTATGGTGTTTAAGTTTTGATTTTTGTTATTTGGTACAGAAAGCTTTCTTTAATAGCATAAAAATTGTAATATGAGGTGGTGTTTTGGTTATTGTGGAAAAGGAAGCACACACGAATTTGTGTACCTGTGGGGGTGGGGTATATATCCTGTTGAAGAACAAGATTCTGATAATACTTTATGCGATTGAGATATTAATGAGGATTGAAGTAGCATATTGGTATATTAGTGTGTGTGTGTATGTAGCTTTATATCATATGTTTTCCACACCTAGTTTACGCTTGTTAATAAAACGTCACCTTATTTTACATGTAGATAGGTGTTAGTGTTCAAATGGTATTCGGAGTTGATCGAACGCCGCGGGTTTCGGCAAATCAAAAAGTAAATATGTGCAGCACAAAAGATCTACATCTTGAAAAGTACAATCAACTATAGAGAAGCGAGGAATAGGAAAGTCTTTTTTCTTTGTCAAATGTAGTTATTGACCGATATGCATTTTATATTAGTATATTTTTGAAGGATTCTTGAAGCACTTTTAATTAATTCGTTGAGAAAATATGCTCACATCCTCCCAGAACTTGGGACACGTATTTCGGTTAAGAGAGATAATTTATTTATGCTTGGACGTCATAGGACTCAATTGTTTATCCGTATGTTTTTTTGTGTATTTGATATCGCGTGTAACTGAGTCATGGTGAATGGGGATTTCCGCACCGGGGGGGGGGGGGGGATTGGAGAGGTAGTTGGGGGTTGGGATGGGTTGGAGAGTAGAAAGGTAAGCATGGTCGGGTAGGTACCGAGTCGTAGGTTTGGGGAGGGTTAGAGTGGTTCAGCAGCTACGCGTCTTTAGTTGGTTTAGACGTTTAGTACCTTCTTGTATGCTTTTACTATCTGTTGTACATGCTTTAGTTATCGTGCCCGTTTTCCTTTTCTCCGCCTATCCATAATTGCTTTTTCTTCCATTTATGTTTTATTACTTTCTTCTGTTTCAAACTTTTGTCCAACTTATAGTACCAAATGTTTCTTGTAAAATCATGTTTCCAAAATTTTCTTTAAGCCAGGAATCTCTATGGAAACAACCTCTCTACCCATTGAGGTAGAGGTAAAGCCTTCATACATCTTTCCATCCCCATCCGTCTCCATGTGGGACTACTTTGATTTGTTTTGTTTGGTTTGTGATATTGTACATATATTACACATCTCAAAGATATACATATTTGATGCTATACTAGTGCCAGCACATTAAACGAATGCGTATATGTTATCATATTTATATGTATAGATATGCATATAAAAATCTATGAACAATTATTGTTAAATATTTAAAAGATATATAGGTATTTCATATGCGTGTGTACATATATATCTATATATATCTGTGTTTTACTATCTTCCTTAATATCTATGTTTCAAATGAATATGTAATATTGCTCTATGGAACTTATTTAGCAATATCCTTCAATTATAATTAGAATTTAATTTTGTTAGAGGCCAATTTTTTGTTTGTATTCATCAACGTGACCCATTTAGGTGTCTATTCATGCATGCAATACAACATGTTCAATACCATATTTCTATAGGTCACCAACCATTCGTTTGGAATGTCAATGACCAATTCAATTACCTTACTCATTCCATTCCATATAACGAAACAGAGCATTAGCTTTTTAGTTGTTAATGTCTTTTGGATGTAGATATAATGTATTGAAACCGTTTGTAGCAATCAGTAACTAATGAGCTAGGGTTGCTTCAGCATCCTTTCACAAATTAACTTCTTTGATACAGATGGGATGATGCTTATGATTTTTGCTGTTTGAAATTCAAACTATACGAATATAATTACATGAAAGTAAATAGGATAAGAGTCAAGGGTATTTACGACAAAGGGTTGAGTGGCACCGAGCAAAGAGAAAGTAACAATGTTTCTTGTCATGGTTTCTTCAAAGGGGATGCCTTTTTTCTGCAAAGAGGTGTGAAAGCAATAGGGAGTAATGTGACTTGTACCAAACAATGCAGTAGTTAAAATTGAACAGGGACCAATTTGAACATAAGGACTTGACCTTAGATAGGCTAGGGTGTAAGAGTGCAATTTATATTGGTTCATCAGGGTCCATGTCACCAACCCATGGCTTATCAACTTTGTAGATCAATTTTAGCACACTGTTTTTTGGAGGTAAAAGAGGTGCTGCGGGACTGTAATTGAGGGCGATTTTGGTATGCCAGACAGAACAAACAATTAGAATTGGGACAGGATGGGACTAAGTGGGACAAAAATGCATTGTTCTTGTTCCACCAAAACGGGTGGAACAAAGTTAGGGAGATGGGACAAGATTGGTAAATTACTAAACCACCCATGTCAAAGTAAAACTCTAAAACCTTCCATAATTCTTTCACCCACCAACCTCAGTCTCGCCTGTCCATTTCAGCTCCGTCCAGTCATCTCCAGTTCTGTCTGCGTCCCAAATGCACTCTGAGGGATAACTTCTCTGGTTATGCATGTAGTGTGTACATACCGATGCCAACTTCCATGGTGCATTGAACGAGAAATAAGTGGATCATCTGGCCTTGGAAGTAAGAGGTTCAATTCTAAATGTTCTTCTAACATATAGGGTGATGTGCTGATATTATCGAGTTAGATGTTTTATTCTATGCTACATTCAAGCTTCTATCTAAAAATCTTTGTTTATTTTAATAAATATTTGATGAGCATTAAAGATTGGCTTATATGTTAGCTTTGAAGTTCTGTATTTCTGTTCTTCATAAAAAAGCCTTGTATACAACCATTTCATACATATTTCTTGCAGAATCACCTTTTTGCTTCAATCTAAAAGGAGCTCGTTGAATTTCGTTCAAAATCTTGCGATGGGGGATGCAGATAACACGCTTCCACCATCTAAGAAAAGAGCCGCCGGGCGGGAATTATCCCGAGATAACCCTGGTCTTGATGACGAAGAAGAGGTTCCCGGCCAAGAAACTGGTACATTCAAGAGGGCAAGTGAAGAGGTGCTGGCAAACAGAAGAATCGTAAAAGTCCGCCGCAGTCAAACTTCGTCAGCCCCCTCAGCCCCCTCAGCCCCTTCTTCTAATCCTTTTGCCTCCATTCGTTTGATACCTACTACGGATTCCACCGCCACCCCTGCCGCCACCCCTGCTGCTCCTGCCCCCACCCCTGCCACTGTGAATGATGCAGAAGAAGCTGGGAAAACACAAGACGTGGAATCGCCAAAGAGTGTGAATAAGAAAACAGAAAAGGCAGAAGATGAGGAGAAAGAAGGTGCTAGTGAGGTGAGAAAACCCGAACCGACTGAAGCTGAAACACCAAAAGTAGCAGATCCTGAAGCCGGAAAAGTGACCGAAAAGAACACTGAAGCTGAGAAAGAGACTGAAAAGAACCTCTCGGAGGGAAATGGCGAAAAGAATACCGAGGCTGAAAAAGATACCGAAAATGAAGCGGAGAAAGAGACGGAAAGCAAGGATGCAGCCACATCTGTTAACTCATTCCAACAGCTTTCGAGTAGTCAAAATGCCTTCACCGGGCTTGTTGGAACTGGATTTTCAAGTTCAACGTTCTCATTTGGCTCAATTTCGAAAACCGACCCACCTTCTTTTCCGTCTTTCAGTTTCGGCACGAACGGAAACTCGGCTTTATTCGGCAACCCCCCTGGAGCATCTCTTGGTGAAAAAACCGAAGGAACCAAAATACCATCTATGCAGGAGGTCCACGTGGAGACCGGTGAAGAAAACGAGATGGCTGTTTTTACAGCCGATGCTGCACTCTTCGAGTTTCTCGACGGCGGGTGGAAGGAACGCGGCAAAGGAGAACTGAAAGTCAACGTTTTAACGACTGGAACTAAAAAAGCTCGGCTCGTGATGAGGGCAAGAGGAAATTACCGACTGATTTTGAACGCCAGCATCTTCCCTGATATGAAGCTGACAAACATGGAGAAGAAAGGGATAACATTTGCGTGTTTGAACAGTACGGGCGAAGGGCAAAATGGTCTTTCGACATTTGCACTGAAGTTCAAAGATGCAGCGATTGTTGACGAGTTTCGATCGGTTGTTACGGAACACAAAGGGAGCATGGTTGCTGTTCCGACAATGAAAACACCTGAGAATTCTCCAAAAGCATCGGACGAGTAGAAGAAAACGGAGGGGCAAAAAGGTAAAAAACGATATATCTTAATGTTGGTTTTGGGTGTTTTAGCCCCAAACCATTGTAGTAGCTGTGTCTCTATATCCTCATTTTGTTGTTATCTTTGATAGACATATTTGCCAGAATAACTTTGGTTTAGGATTGAGGCTGAGAATTTGGAGTCTTGAATTGTTATAAATAGTTTTGTCCTTTATAAATCTTTCTGGGAATTGGGTCTTGATTGCCTTAATTTTTATTTTTTATGCTTTCTGAGTAGTTGACTCTGGAATTTGTGCTGCTTCCATGGACCGCAAGTCGTAAAAGTTGTGATATATGAGCACGCTCGAGGTCATGTTCACCTTGCACGTGGTGTACGTTCACTACTTGTCGTGCCTGGGTTTCCTGTGTAACGATCTTTGCATCCGTCTGACCTTTTATTTATCTGGGCAAATTCTCTATACCCATTTGCCAATTGAGTTGCACTTGATAGGCTATTTTGTTATTTCCATCAAAGATGTAGAAGTGGGTCGGCTGGATGATGATCTCGGTTGAAACTAGCCGTTTGACTCACTAATAAGACCGAGATCCCTTGGCCATAACTCGTTTACTTAATTGGCTTCTTTCTTGCCTCGACCAGCACAACCGATGGCCGTTGGATCTGGTTCGAGATCTATTGCAAGTTCGGATGTACAGAGTTTGTTATTTTGATTTGGAATTGGAATGCAAGATAGGTCCTGAGTTCGATCTCCTTAAGGTGCTAGCCTCAATTGTTGAGTAAGCCAAGAAAAGCCTCCTTATATTGATGTCACTATAGGCAGGTTTCGTCTGAGGCTAGCTAGAGTTACAAAATTACCAAAATACCCTCATGTTTCGTGGATAGCATCGTTTAGACAACTCTACCTTCATATGATATTTGTTCTTCTGTTGGTACATTTTTAGGACATTCTAGATGTGAAAAAAGGTATAAAAAAATAATATTCCCTCTCGTACTTGTACAAAATTACAGATGGTTTGTATATCAAATCTTTTAATAAAAACATGAAAAATCTCTAAAATACGGTCACCGTGACTTGCAAGTGAGGGGTACTTAACGGTTTCTCTGAAGTTCCTAACGAACGGGGACAAAATCCGTAACAAAATGAAACCCTATTGTTACTGATGTAATTATTAAGCCCAAAAGACGAAAACCACAAGGACGATTATTCACGTTTCTATTTTAATTTATCGAAACTAAATGTTTATTTTTAAAAGTAAATATTTATTTTACAATTTTATCCTTAATTAGGACAGGATTGTTATTGAAGGTCAAATTGTTATTTTAGTTAATTAAAAAGTGTAATTATTAGATATAGCAATTGAGATCATGGGAGACCATAAATTAACACTCAACCTTATCTCTTATATCAGAAAATCAATCTAGAAGATAAAGTCGAGTGATTCGATATTAAGCATTAGATGTTGTTTTACTCTCATGATCCGTAAGTTGGGTTTTTAGGAACTTTATTTCTGACTCTTTTCCCATGAAAACATTGTAAAGGTAAACCTTTAGAACGTTTTTGCTATGAAGGTTCGATGTTAAGTTGTAACTTCACAATAATAATAAATGTTTGGTATAAATTTTTATGATCTTACGAAAATAAGTTGGTCTTACAAGAACGTCGATTCATTACATATTTCCAAAACGGTTTGAAGAATCTTCACACAGTTGACAATTATATGAAACATAAAGACAAATTCGTAGAAGAGAAACCAAAACGAACTGGTAATCAACAAATTAGCAAGTTACGAAACCGCATCGGAAAGGGGATTTGACGTAAAGGTTCTACTTGCAGGAAACACCATTGATAAGAAAATGTCATCTTTTATGTTAAGCTTGAGTTCTATCCTTCGAAGGTCCATTCCTCCTACTGTTCTCTCTCATGCTCGACAAACCCATGTCCAAATACTCATCCATGGTCTGATTCACGATGCCACACTTCAAACAGATCTCTTGTTGGCTTATTCTAAAGGTTCTCTTCTGTATGCACGCAAGGTGTTCGACAAAATGCTTGAACGAAACATGCATTCTTGGAACATTATGATTTCGGGTTATGTTCGAAAGTCTATGCACCGTGATGCTCTAAGTGTTTTCGATGAGTTCTTGAACTCGGGTTTGAAACCAGATCATTACACGTTGCCTCTGGTTTTAAAGATCTGTGCTGGGATCGGTGATGTTTTGCTTGGTGTAATGTTGCATGGTATGGTGGTTAAACTCGGGTTCGAGAACTGCGTTGTGGTTTCGACTTCGGTTTTGGATTTTTACTCGAAATGCGGGAAATTGAATGATGCACGGATTGTTTTCGTGGGGTTGTCGTGGAAAGACTCAGTTGTATGGAATTCGATGATTTCAGGGTTTGCAAAGGCTGGTTTGCATCTTGAGGCTTTGGATTGTTTTAGAAACATGCTTGGAAACAAAGCAGAATTGGACTCGATGACGGTTCCGACCCTTCTAAATGTTTGCGGGAAACTAGGAGATGTCACGAAAGGGAAAGAAATTCACGGGCAAGTGCTGAAGAACACGGTCTTACATAAAGATACCGCCATCGGGAATTCATTGATCGACTTGTATTCTAAATGCGGCTACTTGTGTGATGCTGAGAAGATCTTCCTTAGCCTCAGAAATCGTAATTTGGTGACTTGGACTACGTTAATATCGTGCTACGGATTCCATGGAAACGGGAAAGAATCTTTACGTTTGTTCGAGAAAATGAAAGACTCGGGATTCAAACCGAATAGCGTGACTCTAACCGCCATTTTAGCTAGTTGTAGCCATTCCGGTCTTATAGACCAAGGTAAAAAGATTTTTAACTCTATAAGATCATCATACAGATTCGAACCAACTGTCGAGCATTACGCTTGCATGGTGGATCTTTTGAGTCGTTTTGGATGGTTCAACGAGGCCATAGTTTTGATCAGAAGTATGAAGACGGTCCCACCGGCTAGCGTGTGGGGTGCACTCCTTGCGGGTTCTTTGGTGCATAGAAATGTCGAGACCGGTGAAATGGCAGCTCGCCATCTTTTTGAAATTGAACCAACGAATGCTAGTAATTACATTGCGTTGTGTGGGATATATGATTCTCGAGGCATGTGGAGCGATGTTTCGAGGGTTCGATCGGAAATGAAAAGGTCGGGATTCGGGAAAACTCCGGGATGTAGTTGGATTTCGATCGGGGGCGAAATACGTACTTTTTATCAAGGAGATTTCCATTCTTCTCTTGGTCATAAAATTAATGAAACATTTGAAGGGATTATTGGAACACTTCTTTTGGTTCATTCAGAAATACACATCGATTTTTAAGATAAACTTGTTATGTTTGTTCACAGTATCGTTTACGTAATCATTTACAAACCCAATAAACTGTACAAACTTACAAACCAGTGTTCATATGTTGTTTCACATATGAAACAACAAGTGTGAAGATGCAGTATTTATACAATGGTGTTTCATATGTGAAGCGTTCTAGGTTGTTTTGTGTGTGGAAAAAAACAATTTTGAATATTTCACATATGAAACATAACACTGTATAAACACTGTATTTTCATATGTGTTGAAACAACACATGAAAACTGGTTTGCAAGTTTGTACGAATTATTGGGTTTGTAAAAGAAGGGATTGCAATGTAAGGTTTTCCATTGGTAGTACACAATGAATTCAAATCCTAGTTTAATAAAATATATTTTTTTATTAAACACTTAATTTCAATGTCTCTTGTTAGTGAGTAATAATTAAATATTATTTCTCTTTTTTAAATATAGAGTTTTAGAAATTTCTCCAAATTTGGAGATTTTTACTCTCTCTATTCTTTTCTCAATTTAAGCATACGGTATAGCATAGCTGTTGGAGCAAAATTACACCTCAAATCTCCAAACTTTTTATTTTAGCATAGCTGTTGAAGATGCTTTAAGTCAACTCTAATAAAAAAAATGCAAACATATTACATGGACCCAACTCATTAATTTTTCAAAATAAAGATGGAATCTTGTAAAAATTCTAAACCACATTAACAAAAAATGCAGTTCACTCTTGAACAAGGATAAATTGGAAAGTAAATACTTATTTTAGAGCAAAATAAAATAGAAATATGAACACTTATTTAAGACGAAAGCCGTAGAAATGTAGGGTTCCTTGATGAATAAGATCAGATAAATCATTTGCTTCATTAAAGTCCGTTTTCCCAACACACTAATTCAATTCTTAAGTATTGGGATAATTCAAATGACCATTCGAAATTAAAGGTTGTAAAATCGAGTTTCTACCACCCAGATTCAACGTTTTATCAAGGCTTAAATTGGTGTGAGACATGGCGTGGCGGCGATGTCAAGCCTTAAGTCTTACACGCCATGGTGAGGTCACAACGGTTTTTAAAGCGTGACATAAGACGGCGAATTTATATGGCGCGCGCAAACACACACACACACACACACACACACACATATATATATATATATATATATAAGTGAGTAATGTGATTAGTTAAGTTTGTAAAAATATAAAATCTGAAGCTAAAAGTGTAAAAACACAAAAGTTAAAAAAATTGAAAAAAATCCCGTCTTATAAAAAAACGTGCACCTCAAGGCGTCATGGCATGAGCCACACCTTACACAAACGTATAGGGCTTATGTAACAGCAGAGACGCGTCTTACACTATCATGCGCCTTTTTGAACCCTACGTTTTACATATTTGTATTAGAGATTTTATATATTTATATAAGAGATAAACAATTCACTGTAGGAATAACTACACAACATTAACCGCTTGTGGATAAGATCAAACACAAACGTGAAGGTAACTCGGAATGCACTTCAGAAGCTTCTCATGAAGACTCAGAAGAGGCTTCGGGGACCACTACAGGGGCGCTACCCCTAGAACCCGGAAGGCAGTACAACCCCTTGCCCCCTATCTTATGGTGATCAAAGATGATAGAAGCAAACTCTACACGTGTGTGCACACGCACCTATCAACTAAAATTACGTTTGCTTCATTACCTAGTCAGATCCCTTGTAAATCACAAGTACAGGAAAACACTCGATGACACTAAAATCATTAATAGAAAGACGTAATATCAAATTATTAATTAATTCTAAAAATCAAAATAAGACATTAGATCAACCATGCTTATTGATTCATATACATTCATTATGTAAATGATAGTTTTTCTATTAACCTGGATATCCAACCCACTATAGAAGCTGACTAATCTCAGGATGACCACCTGTTTTGTGGGTAGCTTGAAGTCATCATATTTGAACCTCCGTGGCCACAAGGAGATTTTTATTCCTCGTTGGATTTGAACCTGAGACCTATAAACACTTTTGATCTTTGGAGTCTAAGCTCAAGCCAATCAGGTATCACCCTTAATGTTTGTAAATAATAGTTTTAGTCCCTGTTGGTTTGATCAGTTCAAAACATTGTTGAAATTGACAACTAAAATGTCGTTATTTTTTTGGAAATATTGAATTTGGTTTGTTGACTATTTTTTTACAAGACTTAAGGTCTTGTTTTATCCATTGTATATGGTGGAGAGATGATATTAGAAATAGACTAATAACCCGCCAAAATTAAGTGAACCATTTTTTATAGATTTTTTTTTAAATATAAATATAAAAATTTTAGAGGATTTTTTTCTTTTCAATAAATTCTTCAAAACCTTTTCTATAAAAGAAAAAATCACCAAAATATACGTATTGTATTAACAAAATAGTTACTTTTTACACAAAATGACCACAAGGGTCGCCTCCGGAGGCATGTTGACCATACGGTGGTGATTTGACCAAAAAGTACACAATGGAAGCCACATGTATCTGATTTATGAGACATAAAGATGGTTTTTATCTTACATGTGGCCCCCCTTTGTGTACTTTTTTGGTCAATCGCCCTTGTATGGTCAACATGCTCCCGAGGGCTATCCTAGTGTCTATTTTTGTGTAAAAAGTGGTTAATTTGTTAATACAATAAATATATTTTGGCTATTTTGGTGATTTTCCCTTTCTAAAATAGAGAAAGTATGAGAGAGAGAGTAAACCACAAGGGTGGTGTCCGATTGATTTAAGCTTGAGCTTCAAAAGTCAAAAATGTCTAGAGATCCCAAGTTCGAATCCAAGGAGAAATAAAAATCTCTTTGTGGCCACAAAGGTTCAAATGCGGTGACTCCGGCTATCCGCGAAGCGGGTAGTCGTCTTGGGATTAGTTGGATCGCATAACGGGTTGGATATCCAGGTTAATAAAAAAATACAAATTTAAGGAATTCCTTAAAAAGAATTAATTAGAGCATCTCCAACATGTATATTATATTTTTTTTTTTCTTTTTAAATTTGGAGATTTCTTCTTTCTCTATCACATTTCCTCTATTTTAGATAAGAGTTTAGTATATCTGTTGGAACAAACTTTTCTAAAATTTATAAAATAGTATAGTATCGTTGTTGGAGGAGATCTATCTGGTTTCTTTCATAATTAAAAGCGACTATTTAATTTCAGAATTTGTCGATCGAAAACAAAAACGACTCTTTGATTTTCTTCTCACTTTATCATTTTAACTTCAGAATTTATCCTTTACATTTTCATATCCATTTAGCATGTCTTTTATAGTTTTGTTGCCTTTTTTTTTATTAACCTGGATATCCAACCCGTTATGTGAGTCGATAAATCCCAGGGCGACCATCTGCTTTGTTGGTAGCCCGGAGACCGGAGTCACCGCATTTGAACCTCCGTGGCCATAAAAGGTTTTTATTCCTTCTTGAATTTGAACCTGAGACCTCCATACATTTTTGACCTTTTTGGAGCTTAAACTTAAACCAAACAGACACCACCGTTATGGTTTTTTTTTTCCATAGAGATAATTTGATTGGTATTTAATCATCAGTGATATGTAGTGGTGAGGACAAGTTTTAAGTTTTAGAAGTTGAGGACAAGTTTTAAGTTTTAGAAGTCACAGTGTATATCAAAATATGGTTTGAAGCTGCAAATATGCATTTCATATATATAACAATGTATGTATATATACATACATATATTCTCTACTACTATTGAATCATATTGAACAATTTACAATCATATACAAAAGAAAAAGATCATATGTTGATGTTATATATATATAGAGAAAGAGGGGTTGGTTATTATACAACTCTTGACATTTGTGCAACCAATACAACACAATCTCAACCGTACATTTCATTGATTAATATGTGATTTCATAGAAGTTTTGATTATTTCCTAATATAAAGTATTGATCATAATTAATTAACCATATTCATCTTTCATAAATATTCAAATCATAATAAATGAACTCTCATCATTTTCATAAATATCTCAATTTATTGGGTTGCATTAGTTGTACAAATGCGACGGGTTGTATTTGAAACAAACTCTATATATATATATATAGGTTATTATACAACTCTTGACATTTGTGCAACCAATACAACACAATCTCAACCGTCCATTTCATTTGATTAATATATGATTTCATAGAAGTTTTGATTGTTTCCTAATATAAAGTATTGATCATAATTAATGAACCATATTCATCTTCCATAAATATTCAAATCATAATAAATGAAATCTCATCATTTCCATAAATATATCAATTTATTTGGTTGCATTGGTTGTACAAATGCGACGGGTTGTATTTGAAACAAACTCTCTCTCTCTCTCTCTCTCTCTCTCTCTCTCTCTATATATATATATATATATATAGGGGACGTTCAAATAAAAACCACCCTCATTTGTAAAAACTGTACAAATCACCTTCATACGTCGATTTCATTGTTTAATCTTATGAAATTTTTTCATGAAATTGTTTAATCTTGTGAAATTGTTTCATATAATACTTTTTTTGATGAA